TAGAAGTGGCAAGCTGCTTGTATTCCTGTAGCTATTTCTGTTTTCAGTGGTGGAAAGCAGCAAGGTGTGACTTTACATATTTCAGGAAGTAATTGAGACACGCAGTTGAGAAAAGGAAGCATCGTATAGATATCAGAGGATCTGTGTGGGACGTGCTGATCGTGACAGCATTGCATTCTCAGTCATTTGTGGTACCAGCAGTAAGCCCCTGACCCGTTGGTGAAATCCCATAAGGCGGGGACACGTGTGCTATGCCCCTGCATTCAAGGGCTTTCCAAAAGGCTTCCGTTTGCCTCCACATCCTCGGGTAACAGAGGTGAGGCGTGACTATTTGGCCATTCTCACACCGAAATCACTTCTTGTGAAAGAAATGACTGCTTGTGAAAGACCAAATCTGCTCCTTGGTAAGGAAGGACTTGCACCTCGTGAACTCCTCGTCCAGCATGACCACTAGATACTGCAGGTAGAAGCCTCTCTCTCAGCTGTCCAGATTTCACTGGGGTTTTGGTACAGATATAGGAATAACCAGAGGGCCTGCTTGTTCAATTAAGCCTTTCAAATTAACGACATCATTTCTTTTGCCACATATAAGAAGCTTTTTCTCTGTATATGCCTCCCTCAAGCCCTGCTTAAGTGCAGCTTACAAGATGTACATGAGACCTTGATATAAGCTCTCTTCTGCTGGACTGAATGTTAAATATCCTAAATAGTACAATGAAGTCATAGAAATAATGTTTATAAATCTACTAGATCATGAATACAGTTATTAGGAGGAATAACTTGATCTTGAGAGTTAATGTTTTTGCAGCACCTAACGTGACGAGACCCAATCTAGTTTTAATTAGTCCACACTGTTTCTCAGTTTCCAGGCTGAAAGTCTGCAGCACAACAGTGAAGACATTGCAAACAAAGCTTAGGTCTCATTTTCAGTACCATCAACTGAAAAATAAAACTCCCAACCATGGTAGAGGTATAACTATGTGAAGAGTTTTTAAAATACTTTTTTAGGTTTGGTGGGTTTCGTTTGACTTTTTTTATATAGCTTGGTTACTTATAAGGATGCATTTTGTTAACATTTCCAGATGTTGTTCTAGCAACCATTAAGATTCATCAATTTTCAAAATCTTACATCTGAGATTAACAGTTTCCACATGGCATCCTTAGAATTGTGTATTAAAAAAAAAGAAAAGTATCAAAAGATGATCAATAAAATAGTGGAAATAGGCAGTCTTGGGGTTAATGAGACCTCCTTTGTCATATAATTTGTTCAGCAAAAGGGATGTCTAAGAAATAATGACCTATGTGATTATGCTCCTTTGGGAAGCTCACCTACGAGCTCTCAGATTTCTGCTCTAAATTATTTCCAACATTCTCAAACTCTGGTAGATTCAACCCCCTGCTAAGCAAAATAAAAACTGCTAGAAAAAGATTTCGCCAGTACCACATCAAAATAAGCCCTGCCCATGACCGTGTTTATGTCTGAATTAGTGACGTGTTGTAATCCATCCGACAGAAATGAGAATCTTTCGTTACTGATTAGAACATAGGGCACACCATAAAAAGCAGTCTTATCGCAGATTTTGTTGTTTGGTTTTTATTTGGTTGTGGGTTTTTTTTTTCCCCACCAGAAGAGGCAGGAATAGCATTTGCTTTTAAGACCATAGTTGTCAGACTTCAAAACCACATCACAGACCTACTACTTAGCTACCTCCTCAAGGAACCACCCGTGACCCCCATGGCTTTCCTGGAAGGCACGGCCACCCAGGCTCAGGGCCACCCGGACACGATGACTTTATCGTTGGCAAATAATGAAAAATAGCATAGCCACACTGGAGGAGCTGGGTAGAGTATTTTTCTCATCAACAGTCTATTACCAGTAAACAGAGTCTGATTGGAACCAAAGCACTGAGCAAAACTTAAGGGGAAAAAAAATGTCCAGCACTGCTGGAAGAGGGGGAGCGTTTTTGATGAAGCACTTCTGGTTTTATCCAAATCAGCTCTAGAAGGTTCTCATGAAAAACAAAAGACTACTATTAGTCTAAAAGAAAATTTTCAGTGATCCAAAATAAAATTTCTTTTAATTAGAGAATTCTAATCCTAGGTGCTTTGTGATTTTTATATATATTTTTAATCACAATGTGAAATACTTTATTAAAATCATTTTTAGTAGCCATCAAAACTGGAAATACTAAATATTAGAAAATAAAAAGGTTGTTTTCTTTGCAATGCACTTCAGAAAAATAATCTCAACAGAGAGAATTGGGGTTTTTTGGTAATAGTTTTTTTTCCCAAGACATAAGGCCTTTGTTAGGACTTGACAAGTAAGACTGAAAGCCATTTAAAAAAAGGGAATGGATCAGGTATGAACTGATAAAACTTCCCACTTCTTTGACCTTGTAAACTTCACATCATAATGCAGGAGATAGCAGACGTTTTCCTAGAAGTAGTAGCTATGTTCAACCTCTTATTTCCTTTACTGGCTTAAACCTAGTTTTTCACATTTATTTCTGTTCATTTATTGAAAGGAAAGCATGCATTTTTAATTACGTTAGTTGAAATGTTGGCTGGTTGTGAAACCAAGTACTTGGAATTGGTCCATCTGAGCCACGTGAATCAGCAATACTGTTTTATAGAGTTTTGCATTTTTTCACTTTGACATTTCAAACTGTGATCCTTGCTCAGAAGAAAATCTGGTAGAGAAAGAGAAAAGGCTCCATCTAGTGGGAAAGAACGTTTTATTTAAAGAAGAAAAAAAAAAAAAGCAAGATTTTTTTCACTTAATTTTATGCATGAAGAAATACTGCTTTTAGATTTTGTTTCATTAAGCTGCCATGTTGTTCTTAATTCTTGCCTTCTATAGAGCCATTATTTCATATGCAAAGTTGAAACATTAAGAATTATTCTGGCAGTCTTGAGCAAGAAGCAATAAATGATACTAAATGAGTGGGTTTATACAGAAGAGTTGATCCACAAAGTTCTTCCTCCCTCCACCTTCAAGCTTCAATATATAGTAACCAAAAATGGGTAATTTTTCTGTCAACAAATATTTTTAAATATTTAAGGTGCTTTCCTACTTAAAACTCACTGGAAACATTCATAACTTGACCGTAACAGTATTTTGGGAGTATTTTTACACAGGGAACTCTGCCCCTGTGTTACCTCATGTGCATTAAATGACCTGTTTACCCGCAAACAGTGAAATCTGGGTTCTCTGGCCACGCAGTCCAGTGCGTCGGCTCCTGGTAAGGCACAACCCCATTGGCTGCTGCTGCCTTTTCCAAAAGCAAACACCAAAACTCATTCATCCTGGCCTTTGTCTGGAAGCCTGCCTAGCACTGCTGTGTGTCTAAATCATCCTGATAGAATCTAGCACCTTTATTTTAGGTACATAATTGATTTAGTACAGTACTTTTTTTTTTTTTTTTTCTCCTCTTTGCTGAACTTCTGTACTGCATTGCAGTTATGCTCCAAACTCCTGAGAGATTCAAATGGCAGGACTCTTCAGTTTAAAGCAGTAGTGAAACTCAGGTGTTATTCTCTCACTCCAACCAAACCTCTGCAGTTCCTTTCAGGCGAGTAACAGGAGCAGCAGCAGGAACAAGCACCAGCAAGCGCAGATTTGGCAGAGGAGGCACTGAACCGCATCGTGTCCTGCCTTTTCTCAGACTCCTGTCTCTCATTTTCAGGCCACACAGCCTGGCAAGATCAGCTCCTCCTGTGCAGCTTCCAGCAATGGGTAGACAGTGTAACATGCACTGTAACAATGAATTACTGCACCCAAGTTTACTGTAGCCCATGTTCACATCCACAACCAGCGCGTTGGTCTCCTGACAAGACAGGACTTGATACATTGCTTTGCACACCTCTGGATCACAGGGAGATCTCCATTTCTAGTGAGCTGCTTGATCACAAAGCCGGAGGATTTCTCCTTCCGCATTAATGCACTATTTGGAAATTCTGACAGGCCACACAGACTTGCTGACCTGCCCACACAGTTCTCCTCGTGTCCTCCGTGGCAATGTAACTCTCTTGCACCAGTGAGTAAGAGCTGTCATTTGGCTTGTTTTACAGACTAAAACGGAGGATAGGTTTGGAGTTCTTACTCAGAACCTTTGTATGAGCAAGGACTAATGCAGAACTGACTACTATTAAGAGTGCTTTGGGCAAGTTTGTACGTTTGCAAAATGGAAGCAACGCTATCTCCAAAAGAGAAGAAATGGAAGATAACAGTTAAACTGCTTTTTTTTTGGTGAGGGCAGCTTGTATCTTTAGTTTCAGCTTGTAGGAAGTCTGTGTAACCCTTAGAACATGTCAGCTAAACCAATACAGAACAGTTGTTTAAAACTTCAGTAATATTTTTAAATTATCATTGCAACTGCGCTGTTAGCTGTGTTAAACTCTCCTAAAATTGGCATTAGCTATTTGTTAGAGTAACACCACTTGGTTTCTAATGCAGGTGGACACCTACCTCACTAGGCATGCAGTAGAAGATGCAAGTCACTTCAAAGCAGAAGTTGTTAAATAACACCACTTTTAACTGCTGCCCTTTACACCAGAACTGTTGACATTTTAAGAGATTATAGGCTTGTTGCTGAGCTAAAGCAAATCCCGTGTTTGAAACCACAGGAAGATCCTCCGCCTCATTTTCCTCTAAAAACCTTGTGTAGCACTGGCACTTGAGCTGATGCTAATGAAATACAAGCTTCCAGGTATGAAGCTCTGGGTAACGTTCAGCAATCTGCTTTTGGAGTAATCTGCTGTAAACTCAAAACGCTAATTTAGGGATCAAATATTAATTTATTCCCTCTACAGGTCATTGGATAGTCTCATACAAGCCTTCTAATCAATATTTAGCATACCTATTTCAGGTATTGTTTATCTGGGTTAGAGTGACTCTGCTGTTTTTTCCTTTGTGGGAACAGCAGTCTTTACAACAGCAAAATGCACATCAGTGCACTTGTTTCAAGAGGACCGCTAAATCTCTTTCTTATTTTTCGTAGCTAACCAGCTGCTGAAGTTTGGAACACTCGTCAGTACTTCCAACACCTACGATGACTCCGGGATTGTGACCATTGAGACTGACAAGCCTTTGCTGTGGACAATGGCTATCAAAAGATAAGATCAGCGACAGCTGCCCTTTCTGATCCGACTCAAATTACACTGCAAAATCTTGCTGAGACAGTAAAGCTGTCCGAAAGATAGAAGCAGGCCCTGATTTTATGTACTGAATGAAAACCAAATCTGAAATAAAAGTCACTTGAGATCAAGATTAGTAGCAACAACCGAGTACTTCGTTCTGGTACCTCACTCTGCTGTCAGAAGGCACCTGAGCTGCTACCCACTACAGTCACAGAGGGAACAGTAAAGAAACTGCTACTGCTTATCAGTCTATTTTTAAGAAGCATTTTATTCCAATACTGAACTATTTTTTTCCCCTTTTGCCAAAAGAAACTACAGTACGCAGTTGCACATAGTAAAACTGTATTAAACAGTGATAGCACTAAGAGTAGTTGATCTCATTTTTCTGTCCTGGTTTGTAACACATGTAGGTGCTGGTAAAGATTTCCCAAAAAGAGTAATAATTAAACTTTTCTATTCATGAAGCAAGTTTGTATACTGAAGAAGCTTCAGGTTTGCTGTAATACCAGTACCAGATTTCCCAGTATTTTTAAGTGCTTTTAAAGTCTGTAATAGAAGTAGCATTGTAACTTCTGCAAATACCAAATGCTTACCATAAGCTTTCTGAAGTGAAATATATATTTCTTAATCTCAGTATGAGGAGGAAAAGCATTGCATCTACCAGAGTTTTTGCACGCTTAGTTTTTAAAATCAAAATATTCAATCACTTAATAAGGGAAACTTTCATGTCAATAAATGCAGAGCCCTTTATAATTCTATGTGCAGTTGTCTTACAGAACCAGTATCCAGAACAGATGTATATCCTATCCAACTGTGTGAGCAACTTGTTGACGTGCTGAAGGCCTGCTTACTATCTCTCGACAACTAAATTAACCTCAAACTGTACATCTTAGTAACCACATCTGGCTTTCTTAATTACGCCATCAGAATAAGGATTGGCAACGCAAGTTCTTTACTCGATGGATTTTTTTTCCAGTCAAGTACATAATATAACCCAACAGGCCTCCCAAATGCAGAAAGGAATTAGGGGTAATGACGGCGATTCCAGAAATTAGTGACAAGAATTCCAGTGATGGACTTTTAAATCACCACTTGAGAGGACACAGTAATGCTGTTTTCTTGCTGTCTGCTTTTGCAGGAACAGTGCTGTTTCCTAAGCAGTGAATTAAGCACTGGAACAGCTTCTAGAGTGGCTGTACAGCCGTCACCCTCAGAGAGCGGACTAGAGACCTCCCAAGGTTCCTTCCTACCTGATTCTATTAGCTGAAAAAGTAACAAAACAAAACAAGACATTCTACTATTACTAAAAAGAAGCCTGTAATGTAGACAGGTACGATCGCATACAGAGGAATAAAGAGAAGTAAGATGACAAGAATGTTTGAAAACCCAAACTGAGCTTGTTTAATAGCAAACAAGTTAAAGCTGTAAAATCTTTGCAGCAAGTGTCACAACGTCTTGTTCTTCATCATGAATATTCAGCCACCTCTGTTGGGAGAACAAAGGAATAAGTTTCAACTAATCAGGTGTGACCAAGTGATCCCATTTGAAGTCTAATTTATCCTCCCACCATTGCCTTGTTAGGACAAACATTACACCGTTACAGCTTATCTCTTATTTTCAAACATTTCTCCTTGCCTAGAGGGCCACTCTTACAGGTATAAGCAAGCCACGTCACCACCACAGGATAGTATTGAACCTGTTCAAGCTCTAGAAAAGGGACTACATCAGTTCTGGAGAATCTGTGGAGTTTTACTTGGTAGCATTAATATGTCAGTGCCATGGCTGTCAGTCAACTTAAGGGTCAAGTTTCTCATGCTGAAATGTTTCCAAAAGTTATTTTACAGAATGCAGTTGTACATAAAACAAAGTTTCAAACACATCTAGCGCTCAGTAAATAAAACAAGACCAACTTTCTTCTGTGCCTTTTCATCTTCCAGCACACTCAGTTTTCTCTACCTTACCATTGCATTTACTTTGGATACCCAAATTACAAACTGGAAACAGGAAGAGTATCCGAGATCTAAATAAGGTAAGTGCTTGATAGTCAAACACACACTGAGGAACTGGAAATCATAGCTGATGTTCAGTTTTGAAGCAGAATATTCAAAAAACCCCTGAAAAAGCTAGGGATCTAGTATTCTGCAGCATGTTAAATTAACCACCTACTTCCCGATCAAGTCCTTTATATCAAACAATACCTGCCATGCTACATTAACACGTGCAATGCGCAGATGCTAAAGCAACATGGATCCTGTAGGGCTCACTAACATCCTCTGTAAAATTGATAAATTAATGTAGAATTCAGTGAAATTGAAGGTCATGTTTACTTACACAATTATATTGTTGATTGGGATATGGATCAATTTGACAAAGAAACCAATAAATCCCATTATCGCAAAGCCTATTGCTGTTGCCATGGCAATCTTCTGGAACTCTGCAAAAACAAAAAAAAAAATTGTCTGGAAAGCCTCGTGTATGGCATACAGGAGATGTGCGCTACAGTGCCCAGAGGAGAGATCTCCCTTTAGAAAAATGGTAATGTTAGCACAGGAAGCAGTTCAAAAGCAAATTGCACTGGTGTTGAGAAACAAATTCACTTTCTCAGAAGACCGATGAGGTTTTCAGAGAGAAGCTGCTGCTTTCCACAGAGCATGGCAGATGTACATGTTTTTAAATAATAACCAGAAATACACAGTCCATAACAATTCATGAAATGTTTATTCCATTATCTTTCCTTCATATCCCTATAATCCCTGAAAATAATCACCAACACAGTATCAAAAATGGAAAAGCTGCATTAGTGTATGTCACAGGAAGACAACATCTTAAGCCCCTGCAAAAATTGAGTACTTAAGTGCTATTCTCAATTATGCTAAGACAGCAACTGTGAAGTGGACTAAGGCCAACAGTCCCTCACAACCCTGCCAGGCTGCCAATGAACGAAGTCTCTTAGTGATCTCAAAAGATGTCAGTAAACTTCATCCTGAGCATGTAAATAAAGCATCGTAACTACTACCAGTAAGGACAACCAGTTGCATTCTGGTTGTAGCTACAGCTTGTCTCTAATGCCTTTGAGAAAGTCCAAAAACCTTCTCTTCTATCCTTCCAGCAACAAAGTTCTTCCTGTCCCAACCAGGCAGCTGCTGGCAACTGCAAAGTACTGAATGGGCACTGCAAAAAGCAACCCTAGCTCCCTCCGAGCCCCCTAAAATGATGTTTTTCCTCCAGGGTCACTTAACAAGCAGTTTCCTCCAGAATTTCCCCCAAGATAACTGCAATTAGCCAAACCTGACTGCTGCGTTTGTCTTTTCAAAGTGCACCCAAGTTCTTCTCAGACCAGTTTACCTGATACATGAAAATTATTCCCTTCTTGTCTCAAAGTGGCTAATTTCAGCTACTTACCCTATTTTATAAGGTGAGTTTTAGTTCCACTCACACACCTACATACACACCAAAAAAGGACACATTTTGGTTTATTATATCCAGAACCATAAACCTATTAACATTTGGACAACTGCTCAAGTTTAAACCTCGCACTGGAAGCTGAGAAACATTCACAAATGAATCAACAGAAGCGACACGTGGAAAGGTACATGGTAAGGCAGAAGATGAAGAAAGGATTGTGTTCTGGTTTATTGTGTGCTTTACCTTTCCTGTCAGGCTTGGTGCATCTTTTCACAAGTCGTATGGAATCTTTCACAAACTGACGGCTGGGTTCCACAAATTGCATTACCTGATCCATGATTACCTGCAAAGACGAACGGATTTGGTATTGGTGGTGTCACATACGTACTGAGAGAATTTTTTTTAATTACAGAAGTTGAAGAAACAGTTACCTACAAAATTTGTAAAGACTTAGGATAAATTAAAATGTCATATTCTAACCTAAGCGGGCTATAAAAGATACTTACACTTTGCAGGAAATAAAGACACTGTATCAATATGTGAGCGGGAGGACCTACCGCTGCCTGCAACAAATACGAAAAATTAGGCCTGCCAGCATTAGAAGAGGAAAACCAACAGCTCCATCCCAGCTCGGGCCCGACGCCGTATTTCTGAGGCGCTACCGAAGGCACCTAACCAGGCAAAACCCACCCGGTCCCGAGAAACCCCCCCAAGCCAAGAGCTGCTGGAGGGCCGCCGAGCGCAGCCCCTCGGCCCAACCCCACCCTGAAGCGCCGGCGCTGCCAGCCCGCCCAGGGGCTGCGGGCCCCTCCCCACCGGCCGCTGCGGGGCCGCGCTGCCCGCCCCGGCCCCCCCCCGCCCCCCAAACCGCGCCGGGGGAGCCCCCTCACCCCCCCGCTCCCTCACGCGCCCCCTCAGCCCTCACCGCTGCCGCGCAAAGGCCACGTCGCACAGCGGCGACAGGCGCTGACGTCACCCCGGCGAGGCGAGGCGGGGCTTATTTTAAGATTTAAAAAAAAAAAAAAAAAAAAAAAAAAAAGACTTTGCGGGTGGGATTTTGTTGCGGTTGGTTGTTTTTTTTTTTTTTAATTGCCGGTTCCCAAATGTGTCACACACACACACACACACACAGAGCCCCCCCGCCCCTTCCCCCTCTCCCCCCGCAGCGGGTTCGGGCGGGGTGAGGCGGCCCAGGCCGGCCGGGGCCTAGTGCGGGGAGGGTGGCAGCGATAGGCCGGTGGCGACGTGCTGTTCGACGAAGGAAAGAAAAAAAAAAAAAAAAAAACACAAAATCAAAAGCAACACACATACATACACACAAAAAAAAAAAAATAAACCACCACCACCCAAAACGCAACGTGAAAAACTTGTTCTGTCTGTGATTGCCTGTAAGTCAGACATCTGTTGATCTGTGCAAGTGCTGAAACGGTTGCAAACCACAGGAGTTCGTCACCTTTAAAAACATAAATTCCTGTGTCTTTTTTGTACAGAGGAGCCTGCAGCACGGCACTAAAAATGGGAAAGCTTTTTACACTTCAGCACCACAGGTATCGTGTAAAACGCTTCCTTGCATGAGGGGGTAAAAGTCGCATTCACTGCCAAGACTGAGACCTTCCTTGCTGTTCTGAAAGGAAAATCAGATCATGTAACAAGTAAAGGAAGAATAAAGATAACACTTACTGATTTTTATCCTTAATTTGCTTTTTCTGTTATTAATTTTGGTCTTCCTAGTTGGCTGCCGCCTTTGAGTGTACTGAGTACCCAAAACTTATTAATTATTCAGTCAGGCTGTGGGGTTTTTGCAGCCAGATTGGGCAAATGCTTTGCCAATCTCAACTCACTATTGGACTTAAGTGCACACAAAATATTTTCTGGGCTTAACTTTTTGCTGGCAGCCTTCATGTCAGATAAAGTACCATCACATCATAGCAGGGGGTTGTTGGATATTCTGTGGATTTTTTGGCAGCTGCCTTCCTTGTCTCTGCCCACAGGACAGGTCCCTTGGTATTATTGATCTTCAAATACGAGCTTTCTCTTTGGGTTATTGCCTTGGGCTCCTCTACAAGTTTTCTCCAAAAGCCTGGCTTTGAACTGGATTTTGCTTTGATTTGGACCTCATCTAGCAGCACGCCTCAGATGGGGCCGTAATTTTGGTGGCCAAGTTCTGCTGGACCTTTTCCACCGGCACACCAGCACAGGAGGATCACAGAGCCAGTTAGGCCTCCCACAACAGGTAACGCGTGCCATTTGCGTCTTGTTTTTGAGGCCGATTTGCGGTCTGCAAGGGTGAGCAGTCTCAGCACGGGGAGAGGAAGATCCCCCAGGAAAGCAGCTGAGGGCATCATGGTGCACAGTGCCTGGTGGGGCAGAGCAGGCTGCTGGTCCTCGGCAGGAGCAGTACAGGGAGGCTGGCTTTGGTGGCTTTTTATTTGGTTTGGGTTTTCCCTTCAGTGTCCCAGATAAATGCTAGAGACTTTACCAACAGAGAAAACTCACGTGCTGCATGATGAGCCTTGCTGTGAACCATCGCTGCCAGAGTGGTTTGTATAGCACTGGGCTCCTGTAACTAAGTGGCAGTGATTGGAAAAAAAAAAAAAGAATTTAACCTGAAACAAGAAGACACGTGTATGAAACAATGGCATAGACTTCTGGTGGGATTAGATTTTTATGTTAAAAAGCATTTGCTGAAATAAAGCCTTGTTCCCCGACAAATTCTTGATTTTAAATTGTTTTTTGGGGGGGGGAGAAATGCTCTGGAGAATCATAGCGCGTCCTGCCTGGCTTAACAACGTGGCGTTGCCATGGGTTTGCTGTCATGGGCTGTCTGTGATGGGGAGGTGGTGCTTATTGTCCTCGGTCTCCGCTGTCCCTCGCTCTCCCACGGTGAGCTCTCTTCTTTCCCTGCCAGGCTGCGAGTGCGAGTTTGGACTTCACCAGCTTGGGCAAGAGAGAAGGTCCTGGTTTGTGTACAGAGTTCATTGGCTGTTCTTTCTGAAACTCTTTTCCAACTTTTTTATTTTTTTAGTGTCCTTGAACTAGTATATTGTTACTTAGACTTGGTCTTCAGGCAGGGTAACTATATTACTCTTCTGTATATATTTACAAAGGATCATCTGCATTTACAGAAGATACGGAGAAAGTTTACATTTCTCAGGCATGTGTATTTTTTTCAGTGACAGATAGACTATTACTAGGGTGTTTTGTTTCTACGTCTCAGTGGTTCTTTCAAGGTCGGGGAAGAAAGTGGTGTGCTTGCACGTGTAAATTTTCATGGCAATTTTACAAGTCGGCATTTATGAGCATGCCTAAGCAGTAAATAACCATTCTCTCAAGGAAAGAAAAAGTCAGTTGTTGTCCTATATTGTAGTGTGCTGATGCTGATTTGGGTATTCATTTTGTATAAGCTGGAGCCACATTTTTTTTTTTTTTAATGTATCCAATGTGTGCTCCAAGGATGAGAGAATTCTTTTGATGATAGTTTTACTTTTCTTATTTATACATTTTGATTTATAGCTTGCTTCTTGTCCTTTGGATGACATGAAAGATAAATATCTGCTTTTAACTCTTCTCACATTAGACTACTGTGGGACTTCCATCCCCCTGGGTCTGGATGCTTACGGCTGTGCTTAGAAGGGGGAGCGAGAGGAATCTCCGCGTCAGCCTCTCCCATCCCACGCTGCTGGCTGCCCTGGGATGGGTCCGGCTGCGGCCGGTGGAGCGTGGCGTGGTGCCCGGGGCCACAGAGCCACTGACAGCTCCACAAACGTAGCGGGGGATCGGCGGGAGAGGGGGAAAGACACTCTTGGGTGTGAGAGGAAGCTCAGCCTCCGTGCACTGCGGCGGCACGTGTAATCCCCGAGCAGCCTCCAAGCTTCCCTCTCCCCATGGGAAGCTGCCCCACTTTCCCTCCCCTGCCAGCTCTGTTTCCCAGGAAAATGGGAAGAGCAAAGTGCCTGCTGCTGCTCTGGCTTCTGTGAGGCTGGTGCTGCCTGGCCTCCGCAGCAGCAAGATGGTAAAGGAGTGCCCTCATCTCTGCGTGCCAGAGGGGAGAGGCCTGGCAGTCTGGTTTTCTTCTTTTTGAGGAGCACTGCTCACAGCCTAGAAGAAAATACTTGGGTGTAGTGAGGCTGGTGGGTCTCCTGTGGCTGCACAGAAAGTGATTTGATGTGGGGACCTTCCCACCCATCCCGTGATGGACAGCAAGAGCCGAGCTGGAAGGGCCAGAGCGGTGAGCAGGTGGGCAGGAGGCACAGCCAGCGCTGCGCCCACCGTCCCCGGGTGCCTCCCCTGTGGCAGGGCACGGGGCAGCGTCTGAACTGGAAGGAGGCAAGGCAAGAGACTGGTCGCTTCCCCAGGGGAGTTTTGGGGAGGAATAGATTGTTTGAGCAGAGTAGCCTTTGGCAGGGGACAGAGCATGACTTGCCTTCATGCGTTTGAGGGGAAAATGGTTATCCTGAGAAGCAGTGAAGGTTAAAAAAAAAAAAAAAAAAAAGCCTAATGAAACTGGAAAGGTGGCAGCTTGTGGACTTACATACGCAAGGAAGACAGGCTGCTGGGGAGAGCGGGCATCTCGGTATGCTCTGGGACAGAAAACAGACATAGCAGAGAACAAAGACCACACAGCAGTGGGAGATTTACAGCCCAAACAAGGTAAGGGTGCAGAGAAGGAAGAGGGAGTGGAGAGCGCAAGGCGGTGGTGTGGGGAAGGTGTTAGGAGACCTCCTCGGACAGAGCAGCCTGTTAACCACGCTGCAGGTAGGCGCCTCCTCAGATTTTCAAAGGCAGCAGCACAGTAGCCCCGTTGAATGAAGTCATGCTAATGATCCGTCACTTGACAGTCAGTGTTGTTGGATGACTAAATGACTATTAAATTCAGTCTTTAGAAATTGCTAAGATATATGGGACCTTTTATTTCTTAATTTTACATTATCATAAATATGTTTGATTAATTTATATCTCGAGAAACCTTTGGAATATCTATGCGCTTTTGACATTTAAAAATTATTCTTAGCTTTTCATTCTCCTAAACGATCCCGAGTCTCTGTTTGGACTTGATAAGCACATCTGCATGATTTACGATGGGAGGAAAGATGATTTCCCTTCTCAGTAGCTGTACAGATGCAGGGGCAGAACATAAATGAGGAATTAATGTTAGGAAGGAAATGATAGCTCAGATTTGGGGTTCAGAAGGAAATGATGAAGTGCTTGTGGTCCGTGTCTTTGGGTTAGCCTCATTAATTTTAGAAATGCCACTAGATCGGACTTTAATGCCATGGTTGTGAAAGGGAACGTTGCTAGTCTGAAGCAGTCAACAAGCCCCATCCTTTGATTTGTGCTGCTTAATATTCAATGGAGATGAAATGTGGGGATGAGGGAGGAGTGCTGTTAAAATAGATTTTACCAGTGTTAGATTTATTATGTATAATTTTAAAGATGACCTTTTAAACAAAGTCCGTGTTCAATTTCATTTGGAAGACCTGAGGAGTGAGAGCACATTGGAAGATTTGTGTCTGTATAATGATAGATGCAATATGAGAGAAACAAGGGCAGTATACTAAAATGGCATCACTAAATGATACTTCAGACTAAAAAGGTCTGAAAATAAAGTTTCTAGATAGCAAACGCAATACAGGGAAGTTAACAGAGGAGTAGGTATGCCTCCACCCACTCTTCAGGTCTGAGAGGTACAGAAAACTCAAATTCTTACTAGTTTCTCTGATGCAGTGCTTGCAATAGTTTGTTTTGGTTTAGCACAGCTGCTGCTGATGGCTGTGATTTCTTCTTAGCCACTTCTCAATTCTTTCTTTGAGGTGCACCACTTTTTAAGTTCATGGATTGGTTTTTTTGTGCCAATCAGTACCATTCTCCTATCGTTTCTGGGCTCATCCAACAAAAATAAAGTAATAAGAAGAGTAACTTTAATAAACAATGGGCCAGAAAATGCTTCCTCTGACTTTTGCTCTGGTAAACAGCAGATGATGATACAGGTCTTGTCCCTGCCTTTGC